CTTTCATGATTGATTTATTTTTAATAGTATCATGAAATGCTGATCTACATGTCCTGGGACAACCATATCATAATTTTAGGTAGTTCTTAAGTAGTAATATACTTTATCATGTAAAATGAAATTTTTACAAATTACTAAAATATATAAAGATAATATATATTCATTGAAGTTTTGAATAATCACATACCTGTGTTTTTTGTATTACTTTGGTGATTTATATTCTTTGACAGATTTTCTCAAAGGGAAAAAATAAGCAAATGAAGATAGAGTTATATATTTTAAGTAATGTTAACTAAACCGACCAATACTGTCTTTATATTAATCATTGAGGTATTTTAAACTTCCAATTCTAAAATTTGTTACAGATGGTATAGATGGTAATTCAATTAATTGTAAATGTATAGTATCCTTAAGATAATTTGTTCTATAATACAACCCTGGCAAAATAATGTTCTTATAGGAGAGACTGTCTTGTGACAGTCTGAAGAAATGTTCATTTTTTATTACTATTATTTTTTTAAAGCCATTTTATGTTTTTCTATTGACAGTTTAAAATGCAAAGTACTGGCTGTGTTACTTCTTTGATCTTCTAAATAAGGGGCTGAAATACAGTGTATAAACAAATATGACATTTTTACTGATGTTGTGAAATTCATTTACATTTGGATTATTTGAATCATGAGAAAAATTGTTTATGTAAATCTTTTGAATGGTTAATGTTTTAATGAAAAATACTATTTATTTTATTTCTAACTTTTGTTAAGTGTCATTTCTATTATGTTCTTATTCCTCAACCTACTTTGGGTGGTATTTTATTTTGTGAAGTTTTAGAAATGAGTTGTTAGCATTTACTCTTGAGTTTCCACAGTAGCTTATAACTTCATTAGTTTCTATTCATCAGAATTAAGTGTTTACTTTCATGATAATCTTCATTTAAACTTGTTCTACAGTAAAGTGGTTCAATTTCAGAAGCCTTTTTCCCCCAAAAGATATCACTCGTTGAATTAATTTTCACTAATAGAATCCATATAATTCATAATATTTTAAGTGAGATGACAGTTTTTCTAAAGGTTTTGTCCTGAAGATAAAGTATTGTTTTGATAAGACTGGTCTTGGACAGATCCTTCAGTTATTAGATTTCCCTCTTATTTCTTATGAAAAGTGATATTTTGAAGCTGTTGTGCATATTCATACAATTTGCTTTTCTACACACAAGAGAATATTTTGCAATATTTGGCTACTAACCAAGTAATCCACATCTCAACCCTACCAGCCACTCCAGGGGAGAAAGGTGAAACAGTCTGCTTCTGTAAAGATTTACAGCCTTGGAAATGCTAAGTGGCAGTTTTACTTTGTCTGTGGGATCGCTTTGGGTTGGAATTGACTTGTTGGCAGTAGGTTTTGTTTTGTTTTGATTATTGTTTTAAATTCAGAGAACCTCCGGTCTATGTACCAATTCTTTCTAATTCAATTATTTGATAATTACTAGCACTTTCCTTTTGACCATTTTTCTTCCACTTTGGTGGGCATTAAGTAATATATTATTTGGGTAATTGACTGAGCTTAGCAAATTGACTTTCTTCCCAGTCAAATAAACAGAATATCTATTTTCCCTCATGCCACAAATCCTGAGTCTCTCTTGGGCCTTCCTGTGAACATGGACACTAAGATGAGACAGAAGTGTCAAACATGAGGTTATGTATGGAATATTCCTGATATTTTTAAGTATTTTAAGTATTTTGTGCCCTACTTAATGTCTTTTAATTAGTTTACTTATCCTCAGAGACAAGTGAAAACACATTTTAAAATTTTTTAAAAAATGGGAATTCATTTGGGACTAGGAATATATTAAATGGTTAGTAGACAAATATAAAGCATGTGTGGAACTGAATGTAGAAGAGACACAAGGCTCAGAGGAACCTTTTCCAAACCCTGAGCACCAGGAACCTTGCCCAGCCACAAACATATGAAGCTACCCACGTGCTGTACATGTACACAGTTTATAGAAATAAATTTGCTACCTTTTATTAAAATGAAATTAGATATTTTTTTCATGAGTAGGATGATATCCCTTACCTTTTGTATGTATGCAAGAGGAATCGCGACAAGTAATCCCCAACTTAACAATTTATTCAAGTTACAACAAACTGCACTTGCCACCATCCTTTTTGTTGTTGTTGTTGGTACACCTTATCCTTAGTAATATATACTACATACAGTGTTGCAGCATATAATTTGCTGATGCCAACCCTCCAAAACAAATAAAGATCAGATTTATAAAGATATTGACAATAATTTAAAAAAATAATGAAAACTAAAAAAAAAAAAAATGTATTCGACTTCTGTCAGAACTGACTTATGATGGAGTCATTGAAATGGAATCCCAGTGTAAGTCAGACACTACTTGTTTTAGGAACGGCATACTAAATGGAAAATATTTTTCCTGTAATTTCCATGTAGCAAATTGGTGAGCAGTGCAAAAATATATCAAAGGATATTACTTGATGTAGCTCTAAGCAAATCTGCAGAACTCAAGCCTGATGAGACTTTGCTACTTTTCAATCAATGCAAGCAAGGCTGTCCAGGCTGTAAATTTGTTTTCATAAAGCAAACACATTTACATCTCTCCTGAGTTATCATGATCATTTTGCAATCCTCTATTCTGATTGTACAAACCTGCCCTGTATTTTAAAAATTAAAATTGAATGTGCTTTTGTAACAACTGCACATTTTCCTGGAACTCATAAGTAGTTGGTGTATTTTAGAAGTTCACATTTTAGTAGCACTATGTAAAGTATATGCTTAAGTTACATGGTATTAGGAAGAACATCTGCTGAAGATTGCCTTATGTTTTTCATGTCATCAGACCTTCATATCTGGTGAAAGAATTTTGAGATGCATCTACTTCTTCAAGCTTGAATTTTGTCAACCTGATTATTTGTTTCATAAGGCAAGATCTATATCTGTGTTTCTCTAGGAGTTAGTTATATCAACTAATGCAATGTTAGCAGATAGCAACTACATCAGGAAAAGAACTTGTAATAATTCTTGTATATGCTGTTACTCTATTTCTTAAAGTTTTCACATAATGTTGTGGTTTATTGGGATAGTACATTATGGAAAACTAAGCAATCTTTAGATTATAAACGACTTGTCTAGAACTCATTTTTATGCATAGTTTCCTTAATGTACTGTAGTTCTGTGGTGAACAGCATTGGCATGTTGATTTTTTTTAAATGCCATTAACTTTTTTTCCCCCATTCTTAAGAACTCTAGGATATATTGTATCTTGAGATCTATAGTTGTAGTGAAAATCCCACAGTCTTTAGACATCTTGTGACTTGACAAGAACTCCAGGAAACTATATCCTTTGTACTTTATCCTCTGTATTCTTCTTTTTCAGTCCCACCTAGATAGTTTTAAGGAGCTCTGGTGGCACAGTGCCTAAGGCATTTGACTGTCAACCAGAAGGTTGGAAGTTCAAACCCACCAGCCATTCCATGGCAAGAAGATGAAGCAATCTTCTTCCATAAAGATTTACCACTTTGGAAACCAATAGGGGTCACTGTGTTTCAGAATTGACTCAGTAGCAGTGGGTTTTAGATAATTTTGCTATGCCATATATTTCTGTTATGACAAATTAGCTCCTATGTGATTGGTAAATAAAAGAATTATGTTCATAAAATGTGGAAGTGGCATCAGCTTATATGCAACGTTTCCAAAAAGAACAGTCTAAAAACTAGGAATAGAATTAGCAATCTTCACAAGTAAAGGAAACCCTCAATTTGGCTGTTTCACTGGAAACAAAGCCTTTACTGCACTCTTTAGGGAAAACTAAAATAGAGCAACTGTACCCAGTGCTGACTTTGCAGGGATGTGCCTGGCAGGTTGCACTTTCTCCTGTGCCTACTTTTAAGGAAGCCTCATGGTGAAAAGCTCCATATCCAATTGTCTCTATAAACATTCTTCCTTCTTCTTTTAAAAAATAATATTCTACTGTATTTTTGGTGAAATTTGCACAGCAAATTACATTCCCATTTAACAATCTCTTTATATATTGTTCAGTGACTTTAGTTATATTTTTTACGTTGTATTACCTTCTCATTATTCCTGTTCTAGTTGTTCCATTTCCATTAATCTAACTTCCCTACACTCTCTCCCTTATCTTCTCATTTTTGCTTTAGAGTAAATGTTGACTGTTTGGTCTCATGTAGATGATTTTTAAAGGAATACAGTACTTATGAGCATTATTGTTTATTTTATGAGCTAACAGTTATTTAGCTGAAAAGTGACCTCTGGGAATGGTTTCGATTCCAAGTTTAAAAGGTGTCTCAAGACAATAGTCTTGAGGGTTCACCTAGTCTGTACCAGTCCAGTAATTCTGACCTTTTTTTATTTTGTTAAGAATTTGAGTTGTATTCTACATTTTTCTCCTATCCTATCCAGGACCATCTATTGTGTTCTCGTTCAGAACAGTCAGTAGTGATAGCTGGACACCATCTACTTCTTCTAGTCTCAGGATAGATGAGACCATGTTTCATGTGAGTTATTAGTCCTGTAGACTACTTTTTTCTTTGAGTCTTTGGTTTCCTGAAAGGGCAGCCAGAATGCTTCTTGGAAGCGACAATGGCTAAACTTCGTCTCACATACTTTGATCATGTTATCAGAAGGGACCATTCCCTGGAGAAGGATATCATGCTGGATGGTCAGCAAAGAAAGAGAAGACCTTCCATGAGATGGATTGACACAGTGGCTGCACTGATGGGCTCAAGCACAGCAAGGGCTGTGAGGCTGGTGCAAGAGCGGGCAGTGTTTCATTCTGTTGTACATAGGGTTGCTCTGAGTGGGAGCTGACTGAATGGCACCTAACAACAATAACAAGAAAAAAATAATTGCAATGTTATAATTATCTGTGTTTTGAGCTCCTTTAGATATTATTTTACCAATGGAAAGTTGATGAGAATCTTATTCTAACTCTTGCCATTTATATTATTTTGCAGGTGCATTTCATTGATTATAATTCAGTACCTTTTGGTGAGAAAATGGAAAACCTAATGCATATCAGGGAATTGGCAAAGGAAGTGAAAAAAATAAACATTTTATTATATGGCCTACTCATATATTACCCACAGGTAGGTAAATATTTATCTTTTCAGATTTTATGTTGTGTAGAATAAAATTTTAATGGTGGAAAAATGATTTTGTCAATAGCAAATGGATAGTAATGATAAAAGAAAATTTAGTCTGGAAAGTTATTAACTTATTCATGTATTGTAATAGGTAGAATCTCTTGGTTCTAGGAGAAAAATAAAGATGTATATTGGCAGATACCTCATGCAAGGTATATCTAATTGCCCACATAGGATTGCCAGATACAAATAAAAATACAAGATGTCCAGTTAAATTTGAATTTCATATAAACAGCAAATATTTTTTTAATTATAAGTATATGCCCAGTTTGAAATTCAAATTTAACTGGATATGCTATCACCACAACTCTTATTCAATTGTATAATATGCAATTGCCTCCCTCTTTTATGTTATATTGAAGATGTTGGTGGTTCAGTTCTCTCCCTCCCCCGCCCCTCCCATAGGTCATTTAATTACTTGAAAGCAATGCCTGGCATTCAGATAACAAAAGGGTATGGTACTTAACTAGAGAAAAACAGTTATTGTCACTGCCTTCAATAACAGCAAATTAGTTAAGCTGGAGGCAAAATGAGCTAGCATTGTAGAGTCTTTGTACAGAGAAATGCTATTTAAAACAAACCATTTGGTGAATCTGCTAAAGAGGATGAGTTTGCCCTTTGAGCATAGATACCTTTCATCAGTTTTGCAGACTGCTCTATAGTTTTATAGTGGTGTTATGCAGGAACCAAGCAAGTTAAACAGTCAACTGCTTTCTTAATGGCCCAGAATAAAAGTGATTTGATGCTGACTGTTCAAGGAATAGCATGTATTTAAAGTTATATATGGGTGATGAATCACAGCCACTGTTTATGAAATATGTAAGTTGCACGTCTAGCCTGAGAGTAATAATATTTCATGGGAAGCAAATGGATTATAATTAATTATATATAAGGACCATTTTGTAGCTAGCCCCTTGGTTTGCCTTACTTTTGAGGTTATTTCCTCTGCTTCCAAAATATACTAGCATGACCCAGGTTAGTCATCAAGAAGACAGATTTCAGTTTATTTAGTATTATGGAATTATCTAATGTTAGTGCTCTAGAAGCTGTTGAATTCAGCACAACCACAGCTCAAAGAGATACATAATACCTGCCCAAGGACAAATAACTGGCTGAGTAATAATAATAGCTCATGCCAATATCCTAGTTCAGAAACCATTCATCCTCAATAAATTGCCCATTTGATTGTACTCCAGATTATTATGGTTGGGACAAAGATATCTTTCTTGTGACATGCAAAGGAGTCATGGATGCACACTAGTAACACTCTGCTGTACAGATATAAAATAGAGCTTATTAAGGAAAATCTTACAAGCAGTGAGAGAGAGGAGCATACTCATTCCTGTAACTCTCTTCCCATGACCTGGGTCAGGTAAATATCTGCATGCACCACAGCTGGTTGATGTTTCCGTATAGAATAGTGCTGCTAGGTGAAATACAGGGTGCTGTTTAATTTGAATTCCAGATAAACAACTTTTTTTTTTTTCCTCTCACTATAAGGATGTCCCGAACTTTACACATGGGATACTTATACTGGTAATCCTTGAAATTAATGTTCCATACCTAGAATGTTCTACATATTGATGGGGTGGGGTATAGTAAATATTCATGTGACTCTGTAACTGTGAAAGCTCCTTGATTAGAAAAGTAACCTTATAGGAAAAGAGGAACTTTTGGAGCCTACTCCAGCTCCAGTTCTTATTTTGAGCTAAAATCTGAACTGTTAAATCTACTGTCTGCTAAGTTACCAAAGCTATAAGGAGGTGAGCCTTCTCTGTCTTTAAAATGTGTCTTTCATCATTTTAGGAAGCAAATTATGGCTTTTTTAGGTATATTTTACCTATTCTTGGAAATGTGTTAGTCAAAATGTTTCAAATATGTGAAAATGTATAAAATAGATCACTTACTTAGCACTCCAATGCTTAATTCTGTCTAGAAGAACATTTACCAAAGGACTGTGGCATGTTCTTCAGGTATGTCATTGAAAAGAGGTCTATGGTTTAAAAGTTTGGGGAGCACCATGTTTCCCAAACAGACTTCCATTTTCCAACAGACTTCTTTAATTAAGAACTTCTCACAAATTCTTAATATATTAATGAGAACTTCCCATCTCCAAATTAGGAACAAAGGGGGTATTCCATTCCCCATTTGTGACCCTTAATCATGGTACAACTCATAAAAGTAATGTTCCTTGGTAGACACTTTAGGAGACATTTTTCACTAACATATCCTATGTAAAGAAATCACCACCCTCTGAAGGCAGTCTATTTAAACTTCAAAAATAATTTTTCCATAATTGATTCAAAAATCAATTTTTCCAATATTTAAAGGGCTATTGCCAGGCTTTCTGTGAACACTAAGTATAAATAAGATGTAGGAGCTATTTAGTATGAAAGACAACACTTGAAGAATGTTGGCTTATGTTTTCCATAATGCTGCATGATGAAACATTTTGTAGCATTCATTCATTGGACTTTGTTTCTTTTAATCCTTCTTCCCTATGATAGCCATTAGTTTGTTTTCATTATTGAGTATGATTTAAAGTCTCTAATCAGTAAAGCCTTTCTATTATTATTATTATTAACTGTTCTTCATATGACATGCCATCAAATATTTCTTTTCTGGATAGATTTTCTAGTTTGTTTATAGACCCCCCTTAGAGACCATATATTGAACTGACTTCAGTATATGTGCTATATGTGTAGTCATTCTGGCTTAAAAAGGCTTGATTTGAATATGACATTCTATTAAGGTAGATAGTTTTGATTTATATTTTGGCTGCACTTTCATAGTGATGACTCATATAAGTTTATAATTAAATAGAATTACTTAAGGCTTTCTTTTTAAAAACATTTAATACATTATGCTGTTAATATATTTATATTTGTATAGAGTTAATTTAGACATATGCAGAGATTGATAATGTGCTTGGTGAATTTAAACTTACTAGTTTTATTCTACTGGTAGAGTCTTTATTATCTTTTTTTTGGATCCAGAATATAACATGAAAATATTAGCCCTAATTTTAAGCTTCATATAAATTAGATATTCCTTAAAAATTAAATACTGCCTGTATGTTGTGTGGACCTGCAGGTGAAAACTGAGTTTGGAATGACTGAGGACTGAGTCTCTTCTCTACTATTAATAAATGTTCCATAATATTGTTAATCATCAATTATTTATTCCTTGATAATTCAATCAGTGACAAATGTATCTAACTGCATTATCTTTCAGTTTAGGTTCTTAATATTTTCATATTTTCTTGATATAACAGACTGTGCCAAATCGTTTGCCGAACTACAATTGTACTCTATATGTATGCACAGAGATATCACTAGTCAAATGATTGAATATGCTTGGCCCTTCCCTATAATGTGGGAGAGCACTATTTTTTTTTTTTATTTTTGACAAGACTGATTTTAAAGTAGTCTAATGCTTTCAGAGAGAAAATTAATCATTTAAAATGATATCTTTGGTGGGAGACATTATGTGCTGAGTGAAATAAGTCAATCACAGAAGGACAACTATTATATTAGTTCATTGTAAAAAGTGATGGAAAGGTTTATATATGGAAGGAAACATTCTTTGTTGGTTACCAGGGTTGGAGGGGAAGGGAGGAAGTACTGCAAAAATTAAAAAAATATGTATTAAAATGATCTCTTTGGAGACAGCTTAAACTGGACTCCTGGATCACGTTACTAGCTTGGACATTTATATATAATATGAGGTTTTGCAACTACTCAAAGCTCAGTTTCTCACATTGTAAGTGAAATAGAAAAGATTTGAAATATACAGAAGACTTAAGGTACAGTACAAATAACGTTTGTCTTCACACTTTGTTGGATAAATTCAAATCAGGTCCTAACTCTCTTTCTAAAGTAACCATACAGACATGATCTGGAACAATAAAAACTAGGTTTTATGGTTAGTACACCTATAGGACTTTGATGCCTTTTTAAGAACTATTTTAAATATTTTTATGTATAAAAAATAGGTCTCCATTCCCCATTGTTAATCCTACTTTGCCATGCAAGTCATCGCTAAGGCCATAATATAAAAGCGTATGTTTGGGAGCATGTTCTAATTATCTGAAAATCTGTATCTAGTGATATAGCAGTGAACTTACGAAAACATGAATATCCTTCCATATCTGACATGAATGGTTCAAACCAACAGTTTATAGAGTTTGCACTCTTAATTTTGTTGAAGTCTGAAACATTTTTGTTGTGACTTTGTTTTTAATACAACTGTTTGCGAGTATACATCTTAAAATGTTTTTTTATAATGAACTTTTATGATAATAAAATTATAAAGTATATAAAACAGCATTTTTCAGATGACACACATTTTTTCAGCTCCCTCCTACTTTCAATTTAATGTTCCTTCTTTATTCATCTTTAACGCTGCACTGGCAAGTGAGCTCCTTTCAGTTATTTCTTTATTAAAAATTATCTTAGACTTAGGTTTTTACCTTTCTAGATATTTTACAAGGAACTCTAGGAGAATGAAAATATTTTAAAACCCAAAGGCATACATCTTTAAAGGTAAATTGTTATATAGCTCTCTAACCTCAGACATTTAGAAGTATCAGTAGAGGGTAGAAAAGCATCAGAGATGCAAAACCAGAGAATGATTAGAAATAGCAAAGCTGAAGAACAGCAGATGTCTGGAAGCGATATTCAAAACACTTTTGGTGAATTTTTATATGTTCTTGCATGCATGCAGTCTGGGGTGGAAATGTTCATTTCATTTAAAATATCAGACCTAATCAGATATCTTATTCAATATTCAAAACCATTTTTCCATTAAAAGCAAGTTTGCCTTCTGCTGTATCAAGTCCCTTCAAATTGTTCATTATTGGAAGAAGAGAATGTTTAATTTTTTGTGAATATATCTGGAAACTCAGAGGGTCTGAGAATTGATAAAAAGGCCTGAAGAAGGAT